TGAGTGATGCCAGGAAGTAGTAGTTTTGAATATAAGTGAGACCGAATTTTCGTGTTCGAATAAAATATTCAAACATTTTGAATAATTCGTATATTCAATTCTTGAATATTCGGAAAGGCGCATTATTCGATTTTTTGAGTAGTCGAAGATTCGAAAAAAAATGCATTCATTCGATTACTCGAAAAGTCTAACATTTCGGAACATCGACATACGAATATTCGTGTTTAAATGGTTCTGGAAATAAGATTCGAATAATAATCGACCTTCGAATTTGTTTGATATCGAGTATTTGTTCGATCGAATATCCGCTAAATCATCGGATATGATTGAGATTGAATATTTATGTTTGATTGGAATGTTTAATTCGATTATTTGCGGTTCGAATCGAATACCAGTAACACAATCCGTAATATTCGAGTATTACCTATTTATTCGATAATTCGTGTAATCGAATATAAAGGATTCCTAGTATTTGAATATTCGAAACGAAGTTTTCAAATGGCGACAAGTAAGATTTATTCGTTCGAATAATTTTATAATTCGAAAGAATAATTGACGTTTCGGCTATAGTCGAATCTTTCCTGTAGAAAACCAATCTTTCATTCTCAGTAGCTTTTACCATGTCTACTAAGTAATGAGCTAAACATTATCATACAAAGTAAACTGAAAGCTAGGATACATGATGAATTTAACTTACGCATCACACGATGATTAGAAGTTTCGAATCTGAAATAAGTAAATGGATGTCTTATAATCTGATCGCATACGGATCAAGATGATATTGTGTGTAGAAGTATGACTTTTCCGTAGCGAAAGTAAATAAGGTATCATACCCTTGTCCTCACTTCAGCACTATTTTGCATTACCAATGTATGCATAATAAAACCTGCGGAAGTGTGATGACAAATGAGCGATAATTCTCTATTCAATAACAAAACAGCAACGCAAAAATGGCATTGGTCAAGTAAAGTCTTTCCTCCTATCTAACGATTCGAGAGGCGTACGCAAGACATTTGATAATGATTGTATTTATCTGCGAAGTTCTTTTTTTTATTTGAATCACTATGTAATCTGTTTTATGAAAAGTTCGTCTCCTAAACTGAACGGCCCTTAAATGGAGAAAGAGGATATATGTGAGTACAAAACAATTTTTAAAAACCGTTCCACTTTTGTAGGGAGTCCTCACACATCTTATCTTACACGGGCTGCTCGATTTTGGTAAAGATTGTTACTGAATTGGCACCGTTCTGATTTTAGAATGGATTTTATAAAAGAGATTTTGCAATATTGTTGCCTAAAAGTGGATCAAATAACTCGGAAAAACTTTGCCAAATCACGATTTACTCTTTTTCTTTAGAAGATATCTCTTTTTGGCAGGCTGCAGCGCAACGCTGTCAAATCATTTCTTTTGCTTAAGAAATAGAATGAAGCTGCATGACCACAAGTAGATCATCTTCTTAGGAAGTAGAATGTAAAAAATGGAAAAGGACTATGTTCTATAAGTAAGCGAATCTGGTGGGATTGTATGTTAATCTACTTGTATTTTTATTGCTTTAAAAACCAGATAATTGCATTTTCCATAAGAGATTCTAATTACTCGAGCTTTAGACATTAGAGTATAATGCATACTGTCAGGTCAACGCTGGCATGAACTTAGAGCGCTTGAATTACATTAAGTATGTACTACAATGTTCTCTCTACTAATTCTCCGGAAAATTTTAAAGAAGAAGGAGACTAAACGGTATGATGTTTTGAATTCAGACACAATAGCGGTTTTTTCGAGGGTTTCGGATAAGTTGATAGCATTTCTGGATAAAAGTTGACATATTTACTTGTAAAGAAGCGGGACCACTGAATAAAATAGTAAAAAATCTGATAACTTCTCCAGTGAGCTACTTATGTTCAATTCTGCGCATCTAAATAGCCTCTGCTTTAAGTTACGACTAAAGATAAGATTCAGGGGAAAAGTGCCCTAGTCACTTTATAATGTAGTTCTCTCACTGATTTTTCTTGTCTTCATTCCTCGTACATGACTAACAATTGATGGGATATGCGTTCATTCATTAAACATCTATGATACAACCGGTTAGTTACTATTGCTACTATTATGCAATCGCATAGTATCGTAACACGTTCTACTACCATCACAACACCTTTCTTTCCATTGAGCCTTTTATCTGCGTGGAAAAAGAAAATAGAAGAGAACACGTTTGAACATTGGGGACTTTATGGCTGGTAGCGACTTCCTTTGAGGGAAGTAAGATTCCATTTTGCCCAGATAAGTAGATGCTCAAACTATGC